ACAGAGCAGGTTTGAGGAGCTCTGGAGAAGGAGACTCCACAGAGCAGATTTGAGGAGCTCCAGAGGAGACTCCACAGAGCAGGTTTGAGGAGCTCCAGAGGAGACTCCACAGAGCAGGTTTGAGGAGCTCCGGAGAAGGAGACTCCACAGCCTCCCTGGGCAGCCTCTTCCAGCCTCTATCACTGCCAAGAAAAATCTCCCTAAGCTTCCATGGAACTTTTGGTGCTGGAGTTTTGGTGCTCCTCCCTCCCGTCTCCCTTGATGACCCCCACGTTCCTCTCGTTCCAGGCGGACCCGGAGGAGAAGGAGGCCGACGGGGGCGCCGCGGAGGAAGGCCCGCCGCTGTCCTCCAGCCGCGCCAGCCTCGAGCCCAAGGAGGGCGCCGAGGAGCCCGCGGCCATCAGCTTCCTCGGGGCGCTCCGCATCCCCGTGAGTGGGCGGCGGGGGGCGCCTTCCCGGGGGGAGGCTCCCACGGGGAGGCCGCCCGCTTAGCGGAGGCCCCGTCCTCGGCGCCCATACCCAGGGCGTCGTGGAGTTCTCCCTGTGCCTGCTCTTCGCCAAGCTGGTGAGCTACACCTTCCTCTACTGGCTGCCCCTCTACATCGTCAACGTGGGTGAGGCCCGGGGACGTGGGGGGACGTGGGGGGACGTGGGGGGACGCGGGGGGACGTGGGGGGACGCCGCTCAGCCCCCCGCCGCCCCCCGCAGCCCACTTCGGCGCCAAGGAGGCCGGCGACCTGTCCACCCTCTTCGACGTCGGCGGCATCTTGGGTGCGTCGCTCTTCGCTTCGGGAAGGGGGGATTCTTCCCGGCGGGATGCCCGGGAAGCGGATAGCGGGGAGCTCAATGGACGGCTCTTCCGCAGGAGGCATCATCGCCGGCCTCGTCTCCGACTACACGGGCGGCCGGGCCACCACGTGCTGCGTCATGCTGGTCGTCGCCGCTCCCATGGTGGGTGGTGCCCCTTGCCGGTGTCTCCATGGGCTCGTGCTCTCCGCTGAGTCCCTTTTCCCTCTAAAATGAACCCAAATGATCCCATGTGGGGATGGGGGAAGAGCTGCGTCCCTCCTCCTCCATCCTTGTCCCTCCTCTTCCATCCTTGTCCCTCCTCCTCCATCCTTGTCCCTCCTCYTCCATCCTTRTCCCTCYTCCYYCATCCTTRTCCCTCCTCCTCCATCCTTRTCCCTCYTCCYYCATCCTTRTCCCTCCTCCTCCATCCTTRTCCCTCTTCCCTCATCCTTGTCCCTCCTCCTCCATCCTTGTCCCTCTTCCCTCATCCTTGTCCCTCCTCCTCCATCCTTGTCCCCCTTCCTCCATCCTTGTCCCTCCTCCTCCATCCACATCTCCTTTTCCTCCATGCCCGTCTCTCCTTCATTGCCATCCACATCCCTCTTCTTCCATCCACATCTCTTTTTGCCGCATCCCTGTGCTCCCCTTCCTTCATCCATCCCTTCCTCCTCTATCCGCATCCTACTTCCTCCTCCATCCATATCTCCCTTCCAGCTCTTCCTCTACAACTACATCGGCCAGAACGGCATCGGCACGTCCATAGGTGAGCACATCCCGGCTTCCCGGGGCATCTCCCCATCCCATTCCCAGCTTTTCCCTCCCCGCTCCGCCTCGCTTCCCGCCTCGGAGGCCGTAAGAGCCGAGGGGACACGACGGCGCGGCCGAGGTGACACCCGTCGCGCTGTCCCCACCAGCCATGCTCATCGTGTGCGGCGGGCTGGTCAACGGACCCTACGCCCTCATCACCACGGCCGTCTCAGCCGACTTGGTATGGAGCCACGGGAAAACCCGGGAATGCACCGGGAAAACCTGGGAATGCGCTGGGAAAGCCATTCCCGACGCTGCTTCCACTCCCTGCAGGGGACACATGAGAGCCTCCAAGGCAACGCCAAGGCGCTCTCCACCGTCACGGCCATCATCGACGGCACGGGCTCCGTGGGTGCGTGTGGCGGCGCCGGGGTGGCCACATTGTCCCCACCCAGGCCCCGTTGTCCCCACCCACGTTGTCCCCACCCAGGCGCCGCGCTGGGCCCCTTGCTGGCCGGCCTCATCTCGCCCACGGGCTGGAACAACGTCTTCTACATGCTCATCACGGCCGACGTGCTCGCGTGCCTGGTGGGTGCCCGCGTCCCCGCGCGCGGGCGGGACCTGGGATGGTGCCATTGGGATGACCCCGTTGGGATGGCACCATCTGGATGGTGCCATCAGGATGGCGCCATTGGACTGGCGCCTTTGGGAAGGCACCGTTGGGATGGCGCCATCCAGATGGTGCCGTTGGGATGATGCCATTGGGATAGCACCATCCAGACGGTGCCGTCGGGATGGCACTGTTGGGACGGCACCGTTGGGATGGTGTCACTAGAATGGCACTGTCGGGATGGCACCATCCAGATGGCACCGTTGGGATGGCACTGTTGGAATGGTGCCATCGGACTAGCTCCGTTGGGATGGTACTGTTGGGATGGCACCCTCCAGATGGTGCTGTTAGGATGGTGCCGTTGGGATGATGCCGTTGGGACGGCACCATTCGGATGGTGCCGTTGGGATGACACTGTTGGGATGGCACCTTTGGGATGGTGTCATTAGGATGGCACTGTCAGGATGGCGCCATCTAGATGGTGCCTTTGGGATGGCACTGTTGGAATGGCGCCATTGGACTAGCTCTGTTGGGATGGTGCCATCCAGACGGTGCTGTTAGGATGGTGCCGTTGGGATGATGCCGTTGGGACGGCACCATCCAGATGGTGCCGTCGGGATGACACTGTTGGGATGGCGCCTTTGGGATGGTGTCAGTAGGATGGCACTGTCGGGATGGCGCCATCCAGATGGTGCCTTTGGGATGGCACCATCCGGATGTCACCGTTGGGATGGCAATGTCGGGATGGTGCCATTGGGATGACGGGGCCAAGCTCTTCCCGGTGGTGGCCAGTGACAGGACAAGGGGCAATGGGTGCAAGCTGCAACCCGGGCAGCTCCATCTCCACGTGAGGAGGAACTTCCTTGGTGTGAGGGTGCCCAAGCCCTGGCACGGGCTGCCAGGGAGACTGTGGGCTCTCCTTCTCTGGAGATGATCCAAACCCACCTGGATGCAGCCTGTGCCACGTGGCCCTGCTGGAGCAGGAAGGTTGGACCAGACGATCTCCAGAGCTCCCTTCCACCCTCAACCCTTCCATACCGTGTCCCCCGCAGCTCCTGTCGCGCGTGGTGCTCAAGGAGCTCCGCGGCTGGTGCGGCTCCATGGCCAGGAAGCGCGGGTAGGTGGCGCGGGGACGCGGGATATGGGGTGCGGGCGCCGCGCGCGCCCCGTTCCCCACGGCGCTCTCCCCGTAGCTCGAGCGTGCAGCTCACCGAGGCGGCGCTGCCCGGCGCGTAGCCGCCCGTGAGTACGGCCGCCCCGCTCCGGCCTCCGGCGCCAGCCCCCCAACCCCGCCACGCCACGATTTTGGGGAAATCACGGGGCAAAACCAACGTTTTTGGGAAGCGAATGAGCAAAATGAGCACTTTTTGCCCAATCCGTTGATTAACGCTCCGGCGTTACGCGAGCTCAATCACCAGCCCCGCTCCAAGCTCCTCACAAACCACGCCGAGCCGCTCCCAATCGGCACCGCCAGCTGCCCATGCTTAAAACGGCACCGAGAGCACCAATGCGGCCGGAATCCCACCCGGAGCGCTGAGCTCCGGGATGCCCCCCTGGGTAGAGCTCGGTCCGTTACGTCTCCGTTGTGTTTGCAGGTAAAAAAGGCCGGTTTTGGGGCTTTCCGGGACGGTAAGTTGGGCCCTGGCTCCTCTCGCCGCGGCTGCTGGTGGCGGCTCTGGGAAGACGCTCCGGGATTCAGCGGTTCTCGCAGCTTGGGAAGCAAGCGGATCCCAGCGGGATTCCGGCTGGGATCGCCACCTCAGCCGCCCGCTCCTCTGCCCCCAGGTTCGCCCGGCTGTGACATTCCCGGCGCCAGGAGCCTCCGGGAGCGCCCGGCAGTGGAGGCCGGCACGGACGCGACCCCATCCCGCCGGGATCGGGACGGACGACGGGAGCGGCGGGGCCCTTTTTCCGGGCTCGTTCCCAGCCGCCGACCTTTTATATTTAATATTAAAAAAGGTTCTCGGATTCCCCGGAGTCCCCCCCCCTTTCCTTCGTTTGGCGCCTGCTAATTAGCTCTCCGTGACCCCCCCCCCCCCCGGCCAGATGTGCGGCCAGATGTGCGCCCGGCGGGGGGGACATTCCCGGGTTCCCTTTCCAGCGGTCCGAAGATTCCCGCCGGTGCCGAGGGCTGGTTTTAGCTCCGCTATCCGGCGCCTCCGAGGAGCCCAAGCCGGGACGCAAATGAGCCGAAACCAGCCAAAATGTCCATTTTTTCCCCCGTTTTCCCCTAAAACCGCTGTTGCAGCAAACCCCGACAGAGCCACCACGGCCCGCGCTCCGGCACCAGCCCAAATCCCAACATTTTGCCGCAGGAGGAGGGATTCCTCCTCGGTGAGAGGAAGATGAGGAAGACAGCGGGGGCAAACCCCAGTTTTTAAGCCCAAATCGTGCGAGTTTTGAGGCCTGCGGGAGCCCAAATCCCATTTTCCTTCTTTTTTTCCCCTTTCCATCTCCCACCCCGGCTTTTAAGGGATCAGTTTTTCCGGGCCAGATTCCTTCAGGCCGGGGCTGACTCACACTTTTTGGCACGGACCGAGGCTGCCGGCTCCGCTTTTCCACGGCGCTCCCAGAAAAACGGCGCTCCAAACGCCAAAAAACGATCCCTGCCGGCGCGGCCATTCCCAAGGTTCCTTCCCAGCCTTTTGCCTGCCTTTATTCCATAAAAAAAAAAAAAAGGGAGAAAATCCTTATTAGTACCTTCCCCATTGGGATTCGGGAGATGTTTTTTCTCCCCGTTTCCCGAGAAAAACCAGGTGCATCCCAGGCAATTCCCTGGCTTCGGAGGCCCTTTCCATGGCTGCGTCTCCCGGCGGGCTAATTAAGGCGGCAGCTAATTAAGGGGGTCGAGTTGCAGCGAGCTGCTCCGGCGCCGGCTTTGCAGGTGTTTAAGAGGGGCCGATCCGGAGCGGGGGGGATAGTTTTCCGCAGCGGAAAACACCGGCGATGCCATCCGGGCCAATTAGTGCTCCCCAAAAATATACGGTTCCCTTTCAGTTTTTGAAGCTACTCACGTTTTTTTTCCCTGGAAAAGCTCTGTTTTATTTTTTCCTGCAGTTTTTTAAGCCTGGCAGCTTCAGTTTATTCACCCTTGAGATCCCAAATATATGTGTGGGGATTTGCAGGGAAGGGCTTGGAAAAGGCGGGTGTTTATTTGAGCATCGAGAAAGGGCCAAAAATTCCCTAAAATAGGGGAGAAATAAGGAAAAAAATAATCAATATTGAGCTCTGAGATTTTCACCCTCTTTTTTGGGGGATATTGGCCCCGAATGAAGCTCCGTCCCGCTCCGGCGTGGCTGGATTTCCCTCCAGCTTCCCAATATCCGCTTGAATGGGGCTGGGATTCGGGAGCGACTCCGCGCCCAGCTGCCCCTTGGCTCCTATGGGAACAAAACGAAAGAAAGAAAACAAAGGAATCGGCGTGGAGGGATTTTTAGGGCGTTGAACTACTATTTTTAAGTCCCGAGCGGGATCGCAAAGCATCCAAAGAGGGGGAATTGCCCCCAAATTGGGCAATTTCCCCCAAATTGGGCAATTTCCCCCCAGAGGGGGAAAAAGCCGCCGGAGCCGGAGAATAAACGGAGCCTAAACCAGGGGCTTCTCAGAGGGTTTTCTTAGCCCTAAGCTTACCTGAAAAAGGAGGGATAACAAAGCAATCCTTGCGGATCCGCTCGGCTCGTGAAACTGCGCTGGATCCAGTTTCTCCTGCACCCAAGAGAAGGGAAGCTTCCGCATCCCGTGTTTTTATTCCCTAGCCGTTGTGCTCCATCCCATGGACTCCACGGGAGGCCCTGGCCTCCCTGGGTGTTTACCCCCTTTCCAGCGCTGCTGTGTCCCTCTCCACCTCCTGGGAAGGGCCGCAATTCCCACGGGAAATCCGGGGTATTCCCGGCGGACGCCGCCGCTAGCCGGGCCGGAGCGGCTTGGCGTACACGGGCTCGGCGACGTGGTAAAGGAGGACGAGGAAGAGGCTGCCGAGGAAGAGGAGGCCGAGGACGGCGAGGAGGACGTAGCGGCCGATGAAGAAGGTGTCCACGATCTGCGGGGAAAGGGGAATACGGGGGGGTTTGCTCCCAAAACGGGAGGAAATAACAGCAGGACGGAGCCAGGGAGAAGCACCCGGAAAGCCGCTCATCCGCAGGGATGTCGGTCGCCGCTCCGGAGGCTGCCGGTGGCACCCAAGGTGACGGGCGCCCCCGGGTGGCGGCAGGGGACGTCCCCAAGGGGGGGGCCCAGAGGGGCCCTGGGGACATCCTGGAGGCGGCTGCTGGGGACACCCCTGGGCACCACTGGGACACCCTGGGGTAATGTGTGTCCCCCCCAACATTAGGGACCCCCCAAAGTAACGTGTCCCCCCCAACAT